CACTGCGATCGGATCCTTGCGGTTGAGGTCCAGGGGTGCACACTGCGAGGGGATCCTTGCGGTTGAGGTCCAGGGGTGCACACTGCGATCCGGAGCTGGCCAGACAAGATCGGCGAAGCAGATTGGCGAAGCAGATTGGCGATGAAGATTGGCGAGGAAGGAAGCAAGGAGGAAGGAGGAAGGAAGGAAGGAGGAGGAAGAACAACTGTGATAAAATCTAGCAACCCTCACCTGGCAGGTGGGGAAAAATGCCTTTATCGAGTTATTGGTTCCTAGCATGAGATCGACGGCCATCGAAAGAGGCACTTACTCCGAAGCAACATTGGAAATAGCTGTGTTGAATGCACGTGAGCGTCAAAACATGAGCGTCGTCAAAACCTACGGAGAAGTGGTTCTAATGATTCTAACGGGCTCTTCTTTCGGAAGTTGCGTGACACTTTCGCGGCTCGCACTTTGTCTTTCGCACGCTGCATTCTGCGCAAAGACGCTTTCGCAAGCTTTCGCGGACAGAACTGATTTCGGAAGCTGTCCAAATCTTTCGCAAGCTTTCGTGTGTTCCGTGAAATCTTTGGTGACTGCATTCTTGCCTTTCGCGAAGGCATCTTACATTAACTTCTCTTCAAGTTGCTACATGGGATGACATGGGACTTGACAAGAATTGACCGGTTCTGGAGGCACATCGTCGTTCGTGCTTGCTGCAATCTACGGAAATGCATTGCTTTGTATTTTGAACCTCGTGGGGCCTCCAAACTGCAGTACGTTCAAAAAAGCGCTTGTCCTGCTTGTCATGCCAATGTTTAAGCAGCCTCTTGATACCAAAGCTGAGGGGATTCTGCAGACTCCCAATGTTCTATGTGCTAAAGCACTTCGTCCCAAGGAAACATTTGCCATATGTGGGAGCTACCAAAAGCGCTTTTGCTTTGCACTGTGAGGATCTCAGCACTGAGAAAAAAGCACCGTTTTTCTTGGCGACTGTGAAACACAAACAGGCTTACACGATCACAGCAGCTACGCCACGAAACACGAGCACACCCACAACCCTTCAGAAAGTGATTCTTCAAGCCATCCCCTGGATGGTGCTATGGCAAGATCCCTCTTCCAAAAACTGGGCTTGTGCCCAAGTGCCCAAGGGTGCTTCGTCTCAGGTTGACATGGCAACCGTCTATGGCAATCACCTAGTTGCCCGGCCTGGTGCTTATTGAGATTGGCTCTTGGACAAATGAGTAGAGGTCAACTTACACTACAAGTACGTCGCTCTCAAGGGCAAAAAGTTAACAGTGCTTTCTCGGGTTGCAGATCTTGGGTGAGCTCCGAATGTGTCAAAGATTGTCAAAGTCAAAGTAGCGATGAGACCATCGGGCTCTTGATTTTTTTTAAAACATAGTACACGTATTTTGCAGTTTTGGCGCATTGCCTCTTGATATTAGCTCATGCAGGGCCTAAACGCATGGAGGATGACCATGATCCGATGTGTTGCTCTTGAAGCTGCTGGTTTGGGTTTCTCTTTTTGCGTGCTTGCTTTTGTTGTCTACTGGCTTACTTACTTGCTCGCCAAAAAGTTTGGACATATGAATGTGACTCAGGGGTGGTTCTCCGAACTGTAAGAAAACGAGTGGGTGCATGCCCTGGCATCCCTTGCGAACAAATTCCATTCCATCGCTGTCCAAATCTGCGCATCTGTAAGAATTTAATGGGTCAGATATCCTCGTCAGGGTCACATATCCTCGTCCAAAGGGATGTGCATGCTTTAGTTTAATACCTGCTCGGAGACGGATCATTGTCTTTGAGAGGTACAACTGTCGGGGGCAAAGCCCCGGCCGCTCCGGTGCCTGCAATGCTCGACACCCGATTGTGGGCTGCAAACACCTGCCGCTTCTGCCGCCAGTTTGGGATCACATCAAATGGACCTCGACATTTATCATCCAAATGAATAGTGGACTGCTGCGCTACTCTGATCGAATCAACAACCCTTTCTCCATTCTGAAAGAATGCTTAAGAAATCATCCAGCTTGGAACTGGCACGGATAGCAGTATTTTTCTTCCCATGCTGCGTCAAGTCCAACTCAGCGCAAAGGAGATGCGGTGTAGTTGGCCCAGTCTCCCCAGGCACTTCCAGTCAAGCCATCCTGTGTCAGTGAAGCACGTCTGCTTTGTCTTTCCATGCAATACATTGAACATTAAGGATGCACAAGCGAATGAAAAGGAAAACCATGCGATTTGACATCTATTTTGCAACACAAACAAACAGGATGAATACTGATTGATCATGCAAACCCATTTGCCTGAAAGAACATGCCGATGATGGCCATC